GTTTATACGAGTCGATAATTCTTGAATGTAGTCGTCCCTGCGACTACATCAACCAACGATGATCTCCCCTTTTCTTCAGTCCCAACTTTCGTAAAAGGAGTAGTCAAATTTTGAACAGAGGATTTATTTGAGTCAATTAAGGAATTGACTTTGGAGACAACTATTACATATCAATATACTTACAATATCTCTCGAAGTAGGACGAAACAGGACTTGTCAAAATATTAACGAACTAATTCTAATAGAAAAATCCTCGACCGTTGGAATTATGAAGAGTGCGAGGCGTGAGGAATTTCATTTCACAAATTGATTCAAAATTGCCAGAAACAACAAAGTAGTTTGCATTGTAAGCAATTTTGGGAGAATCAGAGTATTCCCGGCAATTTATTTTTTAAAGCCCGTTTATAAAATATCTATAGATTTTTCTGGATGTAAACTGTTCACCATTTTCAGCTATCAAACCATCATTTTCTCCATAATTCCACCTCCAAGAATGCAGATTTCCACTATTATTTATTATTTCGGTTAAAAGGTATCTCTTCTTAGTTAACTGAACTGCAGAGGTCACTTCCTCATATCTGTTACTACCTAGCACACTACGTGAGATTATTTCTTTGTTATATGACTCTATATATGTGTTATTAGATAGTCTGTAGTGATGAAATGACTCGGGACATTTAGCTTCAAATGGTAAGGGCATTAGGTGATAGATCACTCCTTAATTTACGACTCATAACGACCTCTGTTAGCATGAGACAGTTCTTCATTCTCTAGCTATTTTTGACTTGCTCATGTCCCAAATTCTGATTTCATATACCCAGCTTTGAGCCATACTTTAGTTGTTTGAGGGCTAGAATACTACTTGTCTGCCCAAGGCGAAGTAGATGGAGCTGGTTAATCAGTTGATGAGGTTGTAAATCTTCAATGACTGGGATGGTTGGGCTTCGTGTTACGTATGCCTGAACACTGATTACCACGACGCGCAATGCTGACTAGTGTTGGAGGAAGTTGGAACAAAGTTAGGGGCGGCCGAAGGATAACGTGGCACCAGTCTGTGAAGCCACTAACTTCTAGTCCGAGCTATGTTAGTAGATGCAGACTACTTGGTTGTAGTCCACGTGACTATCGTAACCAATGGTTGGAGACTCTTGGTGACATGGCTCAGAATCGATCACAGTGGCGTCGGTGTATACACTCTTTTTCTTCCTTTGAACTGTGAGATCAAAATTACTGTATAACTTTCTTTCTACGGACTAATTCTTTCTTCCTGTACTATATCCTTATACACAATCTTTCTTTTATATATTGTTACTATTGAAGTGACTACTATGAATTTGGTATTCACCTTGTTGTGCTAATGAGGTATAGCAACTTCGATCGATGCATATATGTGCCTGGTTCAACCTTGTAGCTGACTGACTGATTGACTACTACCTACCGTGTGATAAACAAGTGCCTTAACTATTATGCTATGACACTACTCAGTGATTGATCAGTTTAATTATAAGGTATTTGTATGATAATCATCCATAGATTTAAATAGTCAGGCAACAGTATACAGGTTAGTAACCCCCAAAAAGTACTGAATGATATGTGACAAAAATAATGATGTCACCAAAAACGCTTATAAATATTATTATCGGGTAATACTATATAGTAACTGCTTCTAAACAATTCAGTAATATATATTAATCTTCTAAAATGTAACTATCCCATTTTCGGTTTTTGTCATCATTGTAGAAGATGTAGAGAAAATCGATGTAAATAATAGTGAGAATGAAGATGCAGATTCAGAAGATGCTCGGTGGAATGGTGATGTTAATCAAAATGATGAAATTGATGAACTTGATGATGATGAATTTGATAATGATTATTGTCAAGAATATTTCGACAATGGTGAAAAAGATTTTAGTGATGATGGTCTAGGTGGTGATGATGATGGAGGAGGTGCTAAATATTATGAATAACAAATTTCTTTAAAAAAATTTTCTCTTTGTTTATATGAAACAATTTATTCTTTATATATAGATGCATGTAAAATAACACTACTTTCACATTGCATTATTTCCAAAAGGTCAATTACGATTGTATATTTCTAGATTTTTTCATATGTACCATTTGTAAAAATCAAAAGAGATTTTCAAGAAATCATACATTGACAAACTATCTATATGATTTTATTTTTTTAGTCACAACATGTCGTTATCGACTTGTATAACCTTAATATATACTAAGTACTTTCTAGTGCATTTCCAGGTGTGATGGTTTCAATATTGGTTTTTAAGGACTAAACATCAGATAATGTGCTACTTTTAGCAACAGTTATGCAGTGAGTTTTGTGCTAGTTAAGAATTTTGTATTTTCAATTCATCTTTTTATGCGATCAAGTCCGGTGCTTTAATACAACAAAATGCGCATTACTCTTTTTAGCCCGTATTTCAATTACATTACTTCAGTCTCTAAATTATACCACTAGGACTGCATTTTTAAAACACTAGATATGATTCATTGTGATATGTGCACTTTACTTATTATAAGCAAGGGACAATAAAGTGAAATAAGTTATTTAATGGTAATACTTGTACGATTGGTAATTTGGAATGAAGAATCTCGTCATAGGCTTTTCACAAAGAGTATGAGCGAAATTGATTCGGGACACACTTATAACAATGAAACTGTTCATGAGTATTTATTACAAATACTCATCATTTCACAGGAAACGAATATTTATATTTCAGAGGTTATTGTAGTCTCTCAGCAATTGTTTTATGTTCAAAATTAAATTTAGATATTGGCTTCACATATATAAAGCCGGTACTACTACTACTACTACTACTAGTAACAATAATAATTATTTAAAAACATAAACATTGGTACAAGAAGGCACCAAATACACATGCGCCACAAATCATCCGATTTGTATGATGTCCGGTAGCCCAAATCGAAGCAGGTTTCCATTCAACCGAAGTTTATAAAGTGCTTCACATTCGTTTGCAATCAAATGTATTCTGAAAATATTTAGTGTTTTTCAAATAAGTATAAAGCATACCCGTAAATATAATCAATTTCCTCTCAAACATGTTACTACTTCGTTCGATTGATGTTCTCTTATCAACTATGTACCAGTAAAATGTTACGATTGTATAAGCTGAACTTTATTAACGAAAATTTAGGGTAAAATCACAGTTAGTAAGCGTATTCTTCTATTTCGAGATAATATAGCTGAAAATTTTATTTTCATGAAGGGGAATTAAGTTAACTGCGCTTCCTATCCATAAATAAAATATTATTGCTTTTCTGTAACTAATGTTATGTTATTTTCAGTAGATTAATGTAGCCCAAAATACTCAATAGTTCTTTAGATTCATTATTTAGTATTTAAAATATAAAAAAGTGGAGATTAATTGTAATCGCATTTTAAAGGGTATAAATGACGATATTTCTAACTTGTGTATTCGTTTGGATACTTTGAATAAACTAGTTCAAAGTAAATATGTTTAATTGGAGATGTAGACTTCCACGGAGAGTTGTCGAAAATATGTGTTTAAATTATATTTTTTAAACACTTAACTTGATAGATCAATCAATCTAACGTCTTGAGTTGCAGGCCCCTAAATGCCCTGGTACGGTCAAGAGTGGGGCGAGTCAGCTCTCCCTTTGGAAATGCTCTCACATGGCCGCGTGCATACAACCACTGCCATAGAAGTCCTACTCACTACCTTCTCGTGGCATTACTGTTGTTTACCAAATTGAGAGGACAAGAAGCGAATGTCCGGCGCTTTAACCAGTTTTGTGGATATGGAGAATCCACCTTGAAGAGTTGGAAAACCCAGATTCCAAACCAATGGTGCACATGGGCTCCAGGATCCTGAAGGAACAAATGGCGTATGAACCAATCGTTGGTCACTGGCTACCATGGGACTGCATTTCCTTACGTTGCTCCACTGCCTTATGAATGAGACCTTTAGGTCAAAGGCTCCGGGCGTGGCCCCCTAGGAAAACTACTTGTTTCGGTTTGGGCACCCGGGTAGTATCCCAGCCCTCACACAAATGGAATGATTTATATGATGCATATCTAATTGGTGCCTTGTACCAATGTTTATGTGTTTAGATAAATTCAGCTGTAGTTAGACATGTAGTTATTTGGTGAATCTGCACATTTTACTGCTTTTGATAACCAAACAGTATTTTACTGTTTTTATGTCTGTGCACCTAGGATAATTTTTACGTAATTGCAACAGCCTTATTTAGGTAGCCAATTAGAACAGTTTGAAAACGAAGATTATTATGATAATTAAAATTGTCTATTAATGCATAAACGACTGACTTGATAAATTCATTTTATGTTGTTTGTTTGAATTTTCCCATTGATGTTTAAGAGTGTAACTGATCAGTCTCTTAAGACAATCCGCACATATGCCAATAAGTCACAAACACAAGCTAGTTGCTATCAGGACTCAGTAGCTAAGTGGATAACGCGATGGTGTTCGAAGCGAACGATACTGTGTTCGAGTCCCGGAGTGAACAGTAACTCTGGCATGCAGGTACATCCAGCTGGTGAAATGCGCGTCCTGGATTCCACCGCTGGCCGTCATCCATCTTTGCTAATAATGATTAACTTGTTAATTATACGTTGGAAATTATGTATTTATTAAGTATAGATTTCTACTATTTTATTTAAAATCTATTGAATCTAAAAATTAACACACCATACATAAACAAATATGTGAATAAACGAAATACATCAACAGGTAATCATTAAATCAATGTTAAAACGTAGACTAATGTAAAGAGATAAAATAAAATGGTCACTGCTATTAGTTAATGAATTAAATACTAAACAGAAATGATAATATCAGATAAATAATTATTCATCTTTTAATAATGACTTGTAACATGATGAGATACTATGGTTTTCCTTATTCTAATCATTATTTTATGTCTTAAGTCAGTTTTCATAGATTCATTTTAATGTGACTGTGACAAATTTTTAACGTTTGTTAATTTTCTTGTTTTACTGTGTTCAGCGTATTTTCATTACTCCGACTGGCAGTACCAATTCCAATCTGTGAAACCTGGATTTTTGATACTATTGTATTTTGTAATCGCTCCTAAAAGAATACAAAAAAATAAATCCAATTAGTAGCCATGAATCCGATATGCTGTTATGAAGTGATCGACTCAATTAGAGATATTGCCAAATATTAATGGATAAAATTATCTTATTACTGCTTTGCTTTAATATGTAACTTACAACATATAGCGAAATGAAATCATACAATTATTTCTATTCTCAATGGGAAAAGGATAAAATAGTAAACACAAATAATTTTTGGTAAATAGTAATGGGCAATGTTTTCAAATTTGCACTAGTAGATCCTATTCATTGATTTATGCTTTTTTTCAGCTTTCATAATTGTTGGGTATGTTAAATCAGTGAGTAAAATCTTGTAGTAAGGAGTCATGTATAAGATGATGCCTTGATGCAGTATGTGATTCATTCATGCATTATATTAGTTTTGTATAACTTTTCAGTAATAACATTCGTTTGTATTAATTAAGTGTCATAATTTCGTTAACTAATTTACATCAGTGAATCTGTCTATAAATTAGTCAATTCGAATATTGCATCTATCTTCTTTGGCCTTTATAGGATTCATTTTTCTTACAAGGTTTACATTTTGGAGTAGCCAGGAGGAAAAAAATGGGTGTGTATCTAGGGCATCTCAAAATATCAATTTTTAAGAGGATCTTTTGTGATATAAATGGATGCTCTCTATTTGTTTTTTTTTCAGGAACTAACATTAAACTATTATAATCGTAGATAACACATTAAACTCGTGCACGTGGGAGTTTATAATTTTGTTTCTTGATAGGAACTGACTATATTACACAACATTAAGTCGAACCATTTGCTAGAGGGCTAATGCTATAAACCATTACTGACAGATTAGTTTTGGCCAGAAAGAAGCTCGAAATCGTGAAATAGTTTCTACTCAGCTATGTGACATCCGAAAGTTCACAGTAATTTGTTAACAAAAGATGATACTCATCAATTGATAATCGCTATGGTATCGTTTATTTTTTTAATATTAAACTATTTAGACACGAATCAAGTTTCCAAATGAAACTATACAGAGGATAAACTTCATATGATCCGTAGTACTTCTTTTAGAAGCTGACTAATCATCAAATCAAGTACCATGTTGCTAAAAAATCTTAGATAATTATCCCTCATGCTCTGGGAGTAATTTAGTCAGATGATGAATTTCTTAACTAGATTTCTTAGCACGTATTTATCCGGGTTTATGGATGGAACGCATTATATCAGACAATTACAATAAATAGAAATCTATAAAATGGAGGGATTTGAATCCGAATCTCTAAGAATGGTGGTTTAGTTGGCGGTCAGTCAATCGTCAAGATTCAACTACCAATCTGATTTACTGTTATTAAACATGTGCTACTTTTATACAAGATAAGTGTGGTTGTAAAGCAATATGAACTGTGAATATTTTCAAATCAAACTCCACCTTGAAATTCTGGCTTCATTTTATCTAGTTGTACCATTGTCCTCATTGTATTTTCTAACCCTGTAGTTGATAAATAAATTTTGAGTCTCATATCTAGACAGTTACCTTTGAAGTTTTTTATTTGACTCATCTGGAAACTAATTCTAAGGTTTTATATTTAAAAGAGTTCATGCTTTGTCACTCTGCTCACTACAGTTTTCAGATCCACCAACTCTCGGCTCTTTTCTTAAGCACAGAAAATCTATCGACAGTAATATTGTGGTCATAATTAATAATATATATTCAAATGGAACCAGTGAGTTATACAGTTGTTCTTCAGCTCCAATTTGCAAGTGTCTCTATGATTCAATGTCTAAATCATAACTAGATACTATTTCATTTGTTTATCTATTTTGAAAATCGATTTTCTGATTCGTATATCTAAAACTTATTTACAAATATATATATATATATACTCAGCTGTTAATGGTTTTCTCACATGAAATACGAATTTTTATGAATATTTCACATCATTTTGTAAGATCTCCAAAATTATTAACCAACGGACGTTAAATACACACACACACACACAAACGGAAATCATATTTATCAACTACCATTTCGTTAAGATACTTTCAATATCATTCAAGAAAATAAATATAAGACATTAGGTGGAAAAGAAAAAGAAATTAAGCTATAAACTGTAGTGATATATGTGTCAGTATCTTTTCGGATGACTATGAAAATTTTATATGTTGAAATAGTTAGAATTGAAAAACGCTCTATTTCGGAAACAATTATTTTCTGAGTAGTTCATGCATGAAATATAACAGAGTATCAGAAACATTTATAGAATGAAATAGAACAAAACAAAATTCACTTCACTTCTACTAAATATGACTGGTTTATCTCATACCCTACATGTTTATTCAATTTCATTCTTACTGGAAAATGTTGGAGTAAATTTTATCCACATTAAATATGAGAATAATGGAGATAGAGTTAATTACATATTTCATTCTGAGAACCTATTACAGGTTCTTACATGTAACTTGATATATGTGTACAAGACCTGGCCTAAACTGAGTGAGTTGGTAATTTTTGGGAAGCTGGTGAAGATTGTCCGTTGCATAGTTTTAATCATATATTGACTTTAACTAGTGAAGTTTTGGAAACCAGAAAGCATTGACTTGCTATATTGTGCTAGTACTAGATTCCTCAGTCGGAGATCGAACAGGTGCTTAGTACTAACTGATTCTCAATGGTTTTCTAGCTAAAGTTAATCTGTGATGTAAACTATAATCAGATGATTATTTGCTAGAGGTTTTTTGTGATCATTCAGTATTAAAGTCATAAAGTTAGTTGTATGGACTCTAAGGAAATTAATTAACATCTTGGTACTAACTAGGTAAATTAAACTATAGATATACACCAGTTACATTGGTCACTTTGAGGAACATGTTGATCATATGGAATTATTGATCAGTTATATAAGAAAGAATTCGCAATTTTTTCCCATCAGTTTTGTCTGTCCTTAAATAACTTTTGAACACTTTCTGATCATTCAGTGCCTTATTTTCATTCCAATGTTCTAAAAATCAACTGATCAGCTGAAAAACATTGACCCGTGATAATACGAATCAATAATCAGCTACCTGATTAATCATCCCACGATAAACTACTGAGACTAAAAACTGAAGCCATACATTCTCTCACATTCACTGAGTGGAAGGAAATTAATTTTTTGTGAACCTTTGATCCTAATTTTACCACATCTTGCTGCTCACACTGCTTTTAAATGTTTAAATTATCTACACCCAACTTACTGTCATAAAATTATCGTTATTTGTATTAACAGTTGATCAAAACAATCAGGGAAGTAATTTAAAGTTGATATGATTTACTTTCAATAAATCCAATGCTTATTATATAGCAAATATATGGTTATTGTACTTTTTGTGAAATCAAGGAGGTAATAAGTCTGTGGGCCAAAGATGTCTGGTGAGGTATGTAAATTTGAGGTAAAGAAAACTGCTCATTCACTTCATCAAAATCTCAATAATATCCAATTAATGTGAGATTGTCACAAAGGATACCAGGATATACTTTCCCATTCAATAATAATATTTGAACAACAAAACTGATAACCTTTCTCATCTTATTTATTCACGGTTAATATTGCCCATGATACATATTATGTATCAGTGCAAATGTCTCTGCAGGAGCTTAAGAGAATTCACGTAATATTATGAATCCATACTACCATACTTCAAGTGTTATTCTTGATATATTCAAATTCATTAAGAGATCGAATTATAAGAAATATTCAGCAACTGAATTCCAACCGAAACAATTAGATACATTACTCAGTAGTGGACATTTTTTATTCAAATAATCAATGTTTACAATTGTTCTGTTTCAAATAGTCTGTTAACAGTCGTTCAGTGCATTGTAATTCTTAGAGTACATTTGTGATTTATTTCGAAGACTCTGAGTTTATCAAAAACGATTGATACTATTTTATTACTGTAACAACAATAAAATTCCGATTTATATATTATATTAGGATGGCTTCATCAATGTTGGCATTTCTTCGCTTAATAATCCAACCTCTAACGAAAACATTAATCCAAGTTCTGTCTGTTAACAATCTGAAGTGATAAGTTTAAAGGAAAACTGAATTTTCTCGTATATTTTATCAGAATTATTCTGTTTATGGCTCATCGAAACATTTGAATGAAGAGAGAAATCTCGAACTCAACATTTCTTTTTACTGGAGTAACTTCAAAATTTTATTTACTCAGTTTTAAAATAAAAATGAAACAGAATACTATCATTTGATCTAACCTAGAATTCTTATTCATCTCTACATTAATTAAAATCAATCAGTTCAAGGTTGTATTTTTTTAAGAAAACATATCGAGATCTGTATAAGTACATTTAACTGAAGGTTTATAGTGATTGAGAAACATGAACTGAATTTCATTTTTACAAAAGTCCTGCGAAACGATCCTTCTTAATTCCGAACATTATTTGTTCTAGAAGCAGGTAAAAGTCCAATGAGATAAACAACTGTGTGGTAAAAATTGGTTGAAAATGTATATATATATATAGCTTATGGTATCCATATTCTCTACTACTATTGGGTTAAAGATTGGGACAAGTTCATCACACCTTGATATATATAAGCATTACCACTTCTGACTGATAAGCTATAATGGTTGACTTCTAATTTCTTAGGAAGAAAGCAATACTGTTTTATTTCTGAACCAAAAATATTGGTGTGCAAGATTAAGAGAAAAGTCGCAGTTCGAAGCTTCGTCGTAAAAGTAATTTGTCTTCAACACTATCTATTTCGCAAATTCAACCAAATTTTATGCAAACCTTCATCCATATTTAAACGGATAGTTTCCACAAAATTGGCAACCGAATATCCAGAAATCACATGCATGAAATCGTGTTTATAAAAATTATAAAACATTGGGAGTTATTGATTCCAGTAGCTGAGATACTAAGAAATAGAAATTTATATCAAGTATAACACTTTTATAAACATTATTACTGCAATACAATCATGCTTGAAGATTATGCATTCATTC